ACGTCAACATTTTGCTCAGTAAAACACTTCTAAATTTTTAAAATAATGTATTATTTTTGATTTTGTTTATTATAATTATTATTTTTGTTTCATTCTTCCTGTAACTTACAGCTTAATTAATTCATTAGTCCTCTCCTTTGTTATGAGAAGAAAGAATGACTCAAATTGTCTAAACTAAACAATCGAAGTTAAGCATGTTCTGATAATTTTTTTCTCGTACAGTACAGGAACACGTATTCTATAAAATTTGAACAGGACTTACTAGGCACAATTTTGCGGTGACGTCACTAAAATGTTGGTGGGGATGATTAGACAAATTTTGCTTAGCATTTAACGATCTAGTGGCGTAAATAACGCTTAAGCAGTTAATTTGACTTCATTTTTTTTTTCAATTTTTTATTTACTTTTGTTTCTTCATTTTTTCGAATTGTATTTTTTCTGGTTTTCAAGTTTAAATTTTTCAATTTTTCAACTTTTCAATTCAATTTCTAGATTTTGCAATTTTTCGATTTCAGTTTCTCAAGTTTTCAACTTTTAATTTTTCCATGTGGAATTTTTCGTTTCAGTTTTTTATTTTCTTTATTTTTACAATTTTTCAACGTCCCGATTTTATAATTTTTTGTTTTTTCAATTTCAATTTATTTAATTTTTCGGTTTGCAATTTTTAATTTTCAATTTTTGGATTTTTCATTTCTTCACTTTTTCGAAAAAACGAGAAAGTACAAATTATTCTACGTGACTTACATTAGGAGTACAGTCCAAAATTATTGAATATGTAATAGATCGACTTTATGTATTTTTATTATAATAGCTCTTGTTCTTTGCGCCAAAAAATTGTTGAAAGAAAACTACATATATACAGAAAAACAAAAAACAGAAATTAAGCCCCACCCACCCGCCCCGATCTCAATTGTGATGAGTTTTTCAGTAGCATTAATATTTCTCTAAAAAATCCCACCCTTTTAAAAACATTTCATATGGTAATTTCTTCTAGCGAATTGAAAATTTTGCAACTAAACTCCGCCCTTCAGCTCACGATGAATAAAGCATTCATCACAATTGAGAAAGGGTGGGTGGGCGGGGCTTATATTTGTCCATGTTTTCTTAATATACAGAGGTTTTCTTTTTCCAACAAGAAACTGACAACGTATTTAATTATCCTCTTGTTGAAAGAAAACTCTATATACTAAAAAAAAAAATAAATAAAATACGCCCCACCCACCCGCCCGATCTCAATTGTGATGAGTTTTTCATTTCCAATCAGACCGAAAGGCGGAGTTTAATTGCCATCCCCATTTCCCTACAAGAAATTTTCACATGAAATATGTTTTTACATCAATTTTTTCTCTAAAAAATTCTACCCTTTTAAAAACATATTTCATATGCCAATTTTTTGTAGAGAAATGAAGATGTCGCAAACTCAACTTCGCCCTTCAGCTCACGATCAATAAAGCATTTATCACAATTGAGAAGGGGTGGGTGGGCAGACCTATATATTTTGTCCATGTTTTCTTAATATACGAAGTTTTCTTTTCCCAACAAGAAACTGACAACGTATTTAATTATCCTGTTGTTGAAAGAAAACTCTATACACAAAAAAAAAAATAAGCCCCACCCACCCGCCCCGATCTCAATTGTGATGAGTTTTCATTCCTAATCAGACCGAAGGGCGGAGTTTAATTGCAAAATCCTTATTTCTCTACAAGAAATTATCATATGAAATATGTGTTTACATCCATTTTTCTCTAAAAAATTCTACCCTTTAAAACATATATTTCTTATGGCAATTTCTTGTAGAGAAATGAAGATGTTGCAAACTAAAGTTCGTCCTTCAAGTCATGATGAATCAAACATTCATCACAATTGAAAAAGGGTGGGTGGGCGGGGCTTATATTTTTCCTTGTTTCCTTAATATACGAAGTCTTCTTTTCCCAACAAGAAACTGACAACGTATTTAACTATCCTGTTGTTGAAAGAAAACTCTGTCTATTAAAAAAAAAAATAAAAAAATTAAGCCCCACCCACCCGCCCGATCTCAATTGTGATGAGTTTTTCATTCCTAATCAGACCGAAGGGCGGAGTTTAATTGCAAAATCCTCATTTCTTTACAAGAAATTATCATATGAAATATGTTTTTACATCGATTTTTCTCTAAAAAATTCTACCCTATTAAAAACATATTTCATGACAATTTTTTGTAGAGAAATGAAAATGATGCAAACTAAACTTCGTCCTTCAGGTCATGATGCATAAAACATTCATCACAATTGAGAAGGGGTGGGCGGGCGGGGCTTATATTTTTTCCATGTTTTCTTAATATACGAAGTTTTCTTTTCCCAACAAGAAACTGACAACGTATTTAACTATCCTTTTGAAAGAAAACTCTGTATATATTAAAAAAAAAAAAAAAATTAAGCCCCACCCACCCGCCCGATCTCAATTGTGATGAGTTTTTCATTCCTAATCAGACCGAAGGGCGGAGTTTAATTGCAAAATCCTCATTTCTTTACAAGAAATTATCATATGAAATAAGTTTTTACATCAATTTTTCTCTAAAAAATTCTACCCTTTTAAAAACATATTTCATATGGCGATTTCTTGTAGAGAAATGAAGATGTTGCAAACTAAACTTCTCCCTTCAGGTCACGATGAATAAAACATTCATTACAATTGGGAAGGGGTGGGTGGGCGGGGCTAATATTTTGTCCATGTTTTCTTAATACACGAAGTTTTCTTTTCCCAACAAGAAACTCACAACGTATTTAATTATCCTGTTGTTTAAAGAAAACTCTATATACTAAAAAAAACCACAAACAAAAATTAAGCCCCACCCACCCGCCCCGATCTCAATTGTGATGAGTTTTTCATTCCTAATCAGACCGAAGGGGGGACTTTAATTGCAAAATCCTCATTTCTCTACAAGAAATTATCATATGAAAAATGTTTTTACATCTATTTTTCTCTAAAAAATTCTACCCTTTCAAAAACATACTTCTTATGGCAATTTGTTGTAGAGAAATGAAGATGTTGCAAACTAAACTTCGCCCTTCAAGTCATGATGAATAAAACATTCATCACAATTGAGAAGGGGTGGGTGGGCGGGGCTGATATTTTTTCCTTGTTTTCTTAATATACGAAGTCTTCTTTTCCCAACAAGAAACTGACAACGTATTGTTGAAAGAAAACTCTGTATATATACACAAAAAAAAAAATAATTAAGTCCCACCCGCCCGCCCCGATCTCAACTGTGATGAGTTTTTCATTCATAATCAGACCGAAGCATTTAACTAACCATCCACATGATATTTCCAACATACGTACAAAATTTGACAATCAGTCCAGCAGTTTCGGAGATTACGTGTCTAATAAAAATGGATACAGACAGACTTTTTTTAAGAATGTGAAACCTTCTCGGGGGTCCCAATTTTTCTTTTTTAAAAATGTAAAACCTTCTCGGGGATCCAAATGTCTTTTTTAAAAATGTAAAAACCTTCTCGGGAGCCCCAAATGTATTTGTTTAAGAATGTGAAACTATCTCTTTCACAAATGTTAAAAATAACTTTTTAATCTTCAGAATTTTATAATTAAAAAAAAAAAGAAAAGAATTGGAATAACTTGGCAACGTCGCATCAGTGTTCAAAATGATTGTAAAACTTTAAAATATGTAGGATGTTTCATTAAAAAATATTTTAGTTGATGTTACTCAAAACGTTTTATCTCTAATGATAAGTATCATTATTAACGAAATATTAGGTACTTTAAGTACATCTGTATAAACCATAGTCAAAAAAATTCCTATATATAATATACCGGTATTTATCTGTACGAAAATGGTACAAAAATTTCGAATTTTTCAAACTGACAAATCGCAAGTTCAAAAAAAGCAATATCACGACTTGATTGTTTTGCTTGTTCGTTTTTCGTTATCATATATTTCCGTCCTTTTCCCTCTTGTGTTGAAAAGTAACCAGGGAGTAAGAGTTTGTATTTCGTGGTATATTTTCTGTTACAGCGCGTCCATGACATTTAGTTATTGATCTTGTATCCATTCGTACTTTTATCCTTTTCTTATTCCTTGTACTAATTGAGGATATTACGTTTCTCTTTAATGCTGCTCCCTTAAACGTTTGCATGTTCTTTGATATGCATTAGTTATCAACTACGGTTCCGTGCTTATGTGACCGGTATGAGACAGTTACTTTTACGATTAGTTATCGCAAACTATGCAGAAAACACTAAAAAGACGCATCACGTTTACAGTAAACGTCGAGTTTTAGTACTTATCATTTTCTATTCTTACAATATACAAAAGTGGTGGCTCCCAGATGCACGATTTAGTGTCCATCGTGGCCACAGTGACGCAAAATCGACCAATAATCAATTATTATATAACCAACCACGTAAACCTCTGTAACCGAAGGAGGTCACGTAGAACTCCAAAATGTACATAAAATAAAAACCGTTAAGAAACCCGAAACAAAAACCGTCGTCAGTAAATTCCCGCCGTATTAAATTTTAGTAAAATTTCGCGAAAAAACCCATATGGTTTAGAGACGGCAATGACAATGCTCGATATCGAAAACAACAAAAAGTTCGTTTGCACCATGAATAATCGGAAAAAATTGGAAAACGGTCACAGATCGAATCCTACACAACCTTGGCTGTTGCAACATATAAAAAAAGATAACACATTGCCAAACAATAGCGATCGAGAGTCGTTGCTCTCATAAAACTTGAGTCAAATGGTGATACAGTGGCTTATTGTCAGTTTAAGCTCAGTACGCATAAAAGCCGGTTATAAAAGCAAATTGATCGCGATAGACTTGCGAAACGCTCGACGAGCTTCTGTGTAAATGTCGCAATGAAAATAGTAAATCGAAGCGATTGCAGTTCCAGGACAAAACAAACGATCGATCATTGTGACTTTTTCGAATTTTGTTTGATAAAAGCGAGGTGGCTCGCTGCGCTCGCCACGATTACGTTATCTAGTTTCTACCTACCCTGCTATTTTCTTTCTTAGATAAGGATTCCAGGTAGCACTGCCATTCCAAAGATCTCAAGAAGAGGAGATGCCAACGCCTTTCGAGGCCATTCGCAATTCGCCGGACGTTGACAGTGTTGCAACTTGCATCGGGTCTCTTGCACAACTTTACCACTGAACTCACAATTTTACCGTGATTTTCAATATCCCGGTGCAGCACCTGTAACGAATAGCAAAAATAAACTTTCAATGGCGGCAAGGTCGACACTGACATAAATCCTCTCGAGAAATTAAACACTAAATATACCTTTTTGCGGATTTATTAAAATCGTGACCGGCACCGACGAGGTAATGGTTTGTTGTGAATAACGTACGACTTATTACTTTCTTCCACTTATTAGTAAATTATAACATTGCAGGCAACGATTGTGATTTAAATAATATATTAGAAACGTTTCTTGCTTGCCATCAATGTCTATTTTAATACAAGTTTAACTACCATCTTAGGCTCAACTACCGCGAGTTTCTCTGGATTAATTAGGAAGCGATTCTCTCTTCGAGATTACAAAATTTTTAAACGACTCAACCGGAAAACTTACGACTGAAGGACGCGTATTTATTATTAATATAGGTCGCGTTTAGCTATAAGGATTCGCGCCTCGATTTATAACCTGTAAATCTCGTAAATCAGCAAAACTCGATACCGCGCATGCTCCGAGTCCAAAAAACCGATTTTTCTTGCGCGTACAAACAATATTTTCTCAACTGGTCTTTTACAAACAATCAATTAGGTAACTGATCCATTTATATTTACGACGGAGAAAAATATTTCATCACCCCAAAAATACAAAGCCAGCCCCGATGTTACGTGAAAGAATAATAAAACATTGAATCGTTCAAAGGTTAATGCCCCGTCGTAATTACTTTTCAATCAATTTTTGTGGTATTTTAAAACCCAGCAATTACGATCATTCCAATCGAAACGCATAAAAACTAGTGAGAGGAATATTTAAGACCGATTTTTGAAATGCGACCATCACTGAAATTTACTTTTTCTTCGAATCATCGAACAATGCACTGTTGCACGTTCTTTCAATCAAACGTCATATCTGATACCGCTTCAGACAAGAAAAGATGTTTATGATAACGATTATAGATAGAACAGGAAATGTTTGTGGGACGCTGATAGCACTTTTCCACGAATTTCACGATTTGAAAGAAACGTATCGAACGCGATATTATTTCGAACAGATGTTCGCTGGGTACGAAATTATAGTGTGACAGATGTTACCACAATGTACGAATTTACGTTTTCAGAATAAAACTCGGTAGCAATCAAACGTAATTTTAAGAAACATGTTATTAGCATATGCTTGCAGACATCCTTTCGAATTCTGTTCTCATCATGACTAACCACTATTCGAAAACACACACACTTGGTGGATTAATACTCGAAGTTTAAACAAACGTTGATTATGCTAAAAGATGATAGTTCTATCTTTGTCGCACTTAATAGATGTTGTCATAACGGATTCATGAGAAGGTTACATATTTTCTCACGAACTTGCACTTTTACCTTGTTCGACAAAAGAAATACACAGATAAAAATTATAATTCAAATGTGAGATACTAATATATTTTTTGCGACCATAAAAGTGGGTTTCAAAAGTCAACCCGTGACAAAATACCTCCTTGTTCAGTGTTTGGCGACCGCCACAAACACATTAAAATTATTATTACATACATCAAAATAATAAAAAGTCAAAAATGTTTGCTTTACGGTACTACGTACTAGCTTTGCGAATATCGTATGATACTAACCATTTTGTCCCCGATTTTTCTAAAAATAGTGGATTTGTTCTATATTACTGTGATACTTTAATGCGGCTCTTAATCCCGCTAGTACTCATAAATGTCAAAAATCTCGCGCTGTAAAAAACAAATTAACACCAACATCGATCCCCCACCAAATAGTGTTTACCCAGCTCTGTTTTCTTTATAACGGCGTAAATTTTGACGATCTCTTATCGCCCGAACACAGAAAAGTCATTATTTGTTTTAGGCAAACAAGTCTACGACGTATCCGCTGGTTACGCCCCAAAAACGGTTTTACAATAAAAAATCTGGTTAATTTTGACCGGTTTTCTACAATAACAGCTCATCTAAATTCCGCCGTCGTCCAATACTCTTTCTTTTGAGAGAAGACTTATTTCGGTTTATGAAATCATTCTGTATTCAGGTGTTAGCACGTGAAGGACGTTCTATGACTCGAAATACGTCAGAAATGAAAAATACAAAGCTTCAGGCGCTTTCATTTTCATTAATTTATTAATTTCGTAAAAACGAGCAGTTTCCTCTAATTGATTTTCTTATCACTGGCTAAAAAGCAGTTTCTTCAGTAGAACTGGTTTGTGATTTTTTTGATCAGGTTTCAAGTCTTCAGGGTTTCGTGGAGGCAGCGATGACAAACTTTTTTTGAAAAGAATTTTGACTCCGTTATAAAAAATAAACAAAAAAAGGCCACACTTTTACCACTGAAAAAAAATTTGAAACCAAACGATGACGGCTCACGTCCATCAAGGTCGGAAGTTACCCATTAGAGCGCTAATTTATCACCAAATGTTGTATTAGTGATTACAGATTACAATCTCACCGTCTACATTTCCAATTAAATATAATCAGAAATTATTGCAGCCAATTAATGAAAGGAATGACAACCCAGCTATGATGGATGACGACGCGTTATCTTTCACTATCATGATAAATCACGATTTTATTCATTTATTTAAACAGGAGGGCACACCACGTCTTGCAAACGTCGGAAGTTGATGTTAGCAAGAAACACCCCCCTAACATCGGGGTTGTTTTGAGAAGTGATATGTTACGGTAGCTCGATATGGGGTGTCAAACAACGAAATAAAACGTATCAGGAAACCCACAAAATGTCGGAAATTTGAAAAGTCGATGGAAGCGAAATTATCCCGTCTATCGTTCTAATGCAAGTGTCGCGGCTCTGATACAGAGAAACGTTAAAATTAATTTTAGTGCAAATTATATAACCATAACATGCAATTATTGCCAAGGCTGTTCAATTTTGATTAATGGCGTGTTGTAATAGTCTTACTTGGCTGCCAAGTTGTTCTGTCATAATGACTCATTGATTCAAAATTAAATCTGAGGCGATTCGAGTAACCCTGTAGGTTTTTTGGGTGTAATTAAGAGACGCCTTAGCTTTTCCGTATGACCGTCTGATTCATTCAAAAACACCTGCATACAATTTTTTGGTTTTGGTCCACTAAACTACATATTTGGCACATTTTTGAAGTGATTAATTCGTGTTCGTTAAAAATGCTTCCTACGAAAGCAAAATTTGCATATCCCAGTTTGCTGTATTGTAAAACATTTTCTATTCCAGTTTATTTAGAAATTTTGTTACGTACTTTATAGTAAATGTCATAATTCTTTCAACAAACAGGCGAAGTTAAGCCTTGAGAGTACATTTTTTCGTGTCTCCTTAAAATTTACGCCCCCGCGGTGCAGGAGTTACAGTCATGCGTAGGAAAAAGCAGGTCCTCGGCTTCCATCTGTCATATGTTTTGTACATTTTAAATAGGATTTATTTGCCAAAATTTTGAGATTTTTTTGAGGATATTTTGATTAAAAATTTACCATATTTACGATAACTTTAAAACGTCTGCAAAATTAAGCCATAATACAATTCTAAATTTCTTCAAAACTCAACACGGATTCATCAACCACAAGTGCAGAAGTTAGATGGTTAGCGTTTTACCATCTACACGATATTCATAACACACGAATAAAATTTGACAACAATCGGCCCGGTGGTAAAAAAGTAATCAAAAACAGACAGACAGACACATTTAGAAAATACGACAGCCCGATACGTATTTTCTTGGCTTAAACTCGGGAAATAAAAATTCAAAAAATATGTCTCATACATATACATGTTGGTTTTTTGAAAAAAAAAAAAAAAAATCAAAATTGTGCAACAAAATTTTAAAATTGATTTACAAATTGCAAAATAGAACGAAAAAAAGCGCCTTATTATCATGCATGCTTAACTTCGATTGTTTATGTTTATACATCGAAAGAATGTCACGTAGAAATTTGTTTAATTTGAAAGCGTTGTCTCTTCAAAACAGAAGACTAAAATTATTAATTAAGCCACAATGGAACAAAATGTTTTGCATATGATTATTCTTATTCTTATTTAATTATAATTAAATAAAGGCATGGGTATTCTCAGATTTTCTAGAAAATGAGGTTCTTAATTTGATTAATAAAAAATTGTTTATTTCTGGTCTTCAAGTTTAAATTTTTCAATTTGGGTTTCTCAAGTTTTCAATTTTTAATTATTCCATGTGCAATTTTTCGTTTCAGTTTTTTATTTTCTTTATTTTTACAATTTTTCGATGTTCCGAATATAATTTTTTTCTTCAATTCCAATTTTAACAATTTTTCGGTTTCCATTTTTTCAAATTTTCTTTATCTTTCTTCAATTTTCCTATGTGCAACTCATTAAATTTTTAGATTTTGCAGTTTTTCGATTTAAAGTTTCAATTTTTAGATTTTTCAGAAAAAATTGTTGAAAGAAAACTAGGTATATAAAGGAAAAAAAAAACAAAGATTAAGCCCCACCCACCCGCCCCCGATCTCAATTGGAATGAGATTTTCATTCCTAATCAAACCGAAGGGCGGAGTTTAATTGTAACATCATTATTTCTCTAAAGATTTCATATGGTAATTTCTTGTAGAGAAATGAGGATTTTGCAACTAAACTCCGCCCTTTCGTTCACGACGAATAAAGCATTCATCACAATTGAGAAGGGGTGGGTGGGCGGGGCTTATATTTGGTCTGTTTTTTCTTATTATTTATTATTATCCTGTTGTTGAAAGAAAACTCTATATATATATATATGTATTAAAAAAAAAAATTTGCAAAATATTAATTTCTCTACAAGAAATTATCATATGAAAAATGTTTTTACATCAATATTTCTCTAAAAAATTCTACCCCTTTAAAAACATTTTCACATAGCAATTTATTGTACAGAAATCAGGATGTTGCAAACCACTTCGCCCTTCAGCTCATGATGAATAAAACATTCATCACAATTGAGAACGGGTGGGTGGGCGGGCCTTATATTTTGTCCATTTTTTCTTAATATACGAAGTCTTCTTTTCCCAACAAGAAACTGG